AATAATAATAATAATAATAATAATAATAATAATAATAATAATAATAATAATAATAATAATAATAATAATAATAATAATAATAATAATAATAATAATAATAATAATAATAATAATAATAATAATAATAATAATAATGATAATAATAATAATAATAATAATACTTTCCAATTAATAAAAGGCTAAAGTGTTAAAGGTATTGGTGTATTGGACATATACATATCATTCCGTAATTTTCCGTATTTCAAAAATAACTTTCTATTACTAAACAACAATATTTTTGGTGTATTTTAATATGCTAAATGGAATGCTTCAGAAAGTATAAAAAGTGATTCGTTAAGGATTTCAGAAGATATCAAGTGTGTGTTAAGTGATTCAAAAAGAATAAAATATGATTCTTTCATGTCTTCCAAAAACTTTTAATATACCATTTCGTTTAAGGTTTCCAGAAAAGATAAAATAGGATAGAGCAAAAGTTTCAGAAAATATACATTAGAAACTTCAAAATCAGCTAGGATTTTCTTGTTATAATCAAATTAATCATCTTAGAATGATCGGATAATTAATTTCATTTCTAAACAATACGAAAATGAAGAATGATAAAGAATAGGGGGTGAATAAGCAAGTGATAAGTATATACATAGCATTATACTGGCCACTATTATGCATTGTCATATGATTCTAGACATAGATATCACAAAGACGTAGAGGATGTTTTTTCACCAAAAATATGATCCACATATGATGTAAAATTTCGAAACATTTTATCTCATATGTTTATTTACTAATTTAAATGATAGTGACATATATATACACATATATATTCTTATTGGGGTTAAAGGTTAGGAGCATTGAAAGGCTGATCTGGTACCATCATGGTGACAAAGAACGATAATTTGCGTTACAGTATGCAGTATTGGCTCGGCGCCAAGGTGTTGGAATTTTGACAATATTCTCGGTAGTAATACCTGAATAGTGATGCCTGAGGTGGAATAGCTGTGTTTATTCACAACGATCATAATATTATTATAATGTTTACATCGGAAAAATTAAAGTTCATATTTAAGATTTGAAAAAAAACATTTGAGGAAAAGAAAAAATTTCTCATTCGCTTATGAAAAGGGAAAGCAAAAAATGATTTTGGAAAAGAAACGATGATTCATTTTAACTGATTTTTTGTACGATTTTTGGTTTATTTATTACATATTGCATTTGCTCCATTCATTTCATTGATAGTTAACCACTTTTGCATTCTCTCCGTTCACTCTGTCATCTTTTTTTCTTGGATTATTCATCAATAATGAATAAAATCTTTACATTTGACAAGATCATTTACCGTTTACCTTTCCATCATATCATGTCATTTAAGTTAATCTGATAATTGGAATATTTAGATGTGAAATGGTAAATGATATGATACAATATGATAGATATGATACACTCTTCATCTTGTTCGTAATTTTTCATCCTTTATTTACTACTTTTCTTCAGCAATTATGAACTACTATTGGTTTGTGCTATTACCGGCTGTGTTAGTAAATTGCTACGGAATGAAGTGTAATGATTTTGATCATAAAAAGAAGAATGATTCGCTTCCAAAAACTTTGGCTTTGAAATCTAACTATAAGGTAGGTCTTTTCTGTACATAAAAATATATTAAACTTTTCTTTTATGCTTATTCCTTGGATTCAGGTACTTGACATTTGAAATCTGATAATTGATTGGCACTTTGAAAGGAATTCAATTCGAGAACAACGATACGTTTTAGTAGGTTTTAAAAAAACGATCTTTTTTTTTAGTTGACGAATTAGTAATAATTAATATTGCGGTAATTTGAACATTATACTGATTCATCTTTTTTTGAGAAAAATCTTAAACTATTCAGGTAGTGGTTCGCCACACAAATTGGATTACGAACGTAACAAGTTTGATCACCGAAAGCCGTACAACAGACCAAACTCATATTACAGTCTCATCGCGTTCCACTGGTACAACTCATTTCATCCTCGGAAGCCGCAGTTACACCTATAATGGTAAGAATAGTTTTCTTTTAGGAAAGAAAAAAAACTTTCGGAATATTTCATTTGTTTTTTTACCGTCGTCTTTACATCTCATTGACCTTCTTGGTTATTTGGTGGCTTATCAAGGTACTGAAAGGTTGATGAAAAGTGAAAATATTGGAAAAGGCTGGTATTTATGTAGGACTAAAAAAGCTGTCGTTATGCAGTGCAGTGAGATTCTGGGCTTCACACAACTATATACTTGCTTATGATTCCAGAAAGAATCCTAGACGTCAAACAGTTTTGTCCAATTCATTGTATGTGTATCCTTTTCTCTTTGTCGTTCCAAATTATTTTTTTTTTAATTCAAATCAATTTTCAGAAACTTCTTGTACGGTTTTGCCAAGTGCTGCAGCAATGCCGGCAGTGTATTTACAGCCGCAGCTTGCTGAGAGCTTCAATTTCACTGGTACATCAATGGCTGAATTGATCACTTCCCTTTTGCATTACAATTTCAACTACGGTCATTTACAGAATGAAACGGAAGTTGGTGGGATTGATGCAGTTTTATGGCTTGGTTGTGGTAAAATACACGGTAAAATAATGCAGGTATTGTAAATTGGAATCTTCGATTAATTTTAATTTAGATTTTTGAAAAGAGAGCCAGTTTTTCGTGCTATGGGAAGCGTCACTGGGAAGGTCTGATCAGTTTTGATGATGCATTAGTATAATATTGCGTGTATATTTCCATACGGTTTATTTTAAATTACAATGTAACATATGTTATGAATAAATGAAGAAAATCTGAGATTTCTTGTGCATCATTTGATTTGTGCATTTTAGTTAGAAGCAGCATACGCAGGGGAACATTCCCAGAAATCGTATTCCTCAGCTGTGAAAAATCCTTATATTTTGTCTCTGCGATTATCTGCTTTTAACGGTACGTTCTTATTTTTTCTTCCATGAAAACATAAATAAGATTCCTGAAATTGGAAAAATTTTTTAATAACAAAAAAATTTTTCTAATTCGAGAAATTTACTTTGTATTTTTGAACTCTTCTACTTTTTTCTGGGAATTCTTTACTAATTTTATATCTTTTCTATAAGCACAGTTCTATTTTCCTGCTAATCCTGATATAATTTTATTTCAGCTACTAATAAAATGTTAATTGGATATGATTCTGCTGAGATTACGCAACTTGAGATGCTACCTGATGATTCACAATTGAAAACAGAAGTAAGCAATTCGGTTACACTTTTTTGGAATCCTTTTGTGCTCTTGCCTTGATCTATTTGCTATTTCTTCTCAGATCGATTAGTGATTTTTTTCCATTTATTCGCAATGAAAAATTTTATGTTGTCAAAGTTTCCAGACTTTATTTTTTTTGGCTTTTATAAACATGAAGCATCTTTTCTGGAAACTGATCCGTTCATTTGAAAGGTCACGATTTCTGAAAAGAATACTAATGTTTCCAATTTTTCCTAGCTGCCCGAAGGATTGTACTGCAATGGTTTCCCGGAAGCCAAAAGACCAACCATGTTCCCGAACCAGTTCGAGATGTCCTTCGATTACACCGATGTTAACGGGAAAGTTATCCACGACATTGACGTAAGTTATAATAAACATTATTCCATTTGTTGTCTTTATTTCCACTTGGTATCTCTGATATCTTCCAGGTTAGATTTTCCAGAAATCTTGAAAAGTTTTGAAAAGAAAATTCCTTCTTAGCTGTCTAAATTTCTTTTTCTTGTAAGGGAAATTTTTACTTACAAGTTCTGATGATGCTGTGAAAACCGGTTTCTCAAATTACATCAACTCCAGCTTCAATTTTTTCTGATTTCATAAGAGACGTATTTTCCACGTATGCAATATTTGTGCAGATGTACTATAATGGAAATGTGCGGATATTTTGGATGCGTTTAAATGCTCGTGCAGGGAAGGATACGCCTTTTCATGGGAAACGCAACAATTCCCGAAGGAGTGACAAACATTCATATTGTTCACGATTTTCAATATGGTTGGTTAGTTAAATAGAATTTCTAAAAGTTTTTTCTTTTTCTGGAATTCAAATTTGAGGATTAAGTGAAAATTAACTGAAAGACTGAACTTCCCAGAAATCTAAAAATATAGCTGCTTGCTAGTAATTAGTTGTTAATCAGAATGTTTATTTATCTAGTTGCTGTATTATCCAGACAGATTAGTAATTTAAGGTACGGGATTTAACGGAAACGTATAGTCGCTTGGTGTTTCGTACCGTCTCGGTGTCGATTGCAATACATGAGTATTCACAAATAAATTAATAAAATCAATCAATGGAAAATTGAAGAGATATATGAATGAAACTGACAGTTTCTTTATGACTTACAGGACTTCAGTATTTGCTGGATGGGGAAAATAATGTTTGTAATTCTGTATCAGCGATCGATGAAAATTTTGGTGATGTTCAAACGATGAATGCTTCAACGAAAGAAATTGAGTTGAAGAAACCAACGCAGTTGTTCTTGAGCTCCAATGATTCGGTATTCTATTATGCGGGGAAGGTGAAGATTTTATATTCATTTTGCTGGATGAAATTCAAGCCAAATGTCGAGTCTTTGCAATTAAATTCGTTCTGCGAATTTAATTCTAATGATTCGAGATTTTAATTTTCTTTTTTGCTTCACTAAATTAGTAAAATTTTCCAGCGAATAGTTGATAACATACCACTGGATGTTTATGTCACGAAAATCAGTAGTTCACCTACAACCTCAACAGTTATTGAAATGCTTTACACGACGGAAGATTGGGTTGTGGAAACAGCTGTGGCACCTTTCCTTCATTCAATAGTCCAGTACCATAAGGTAGTTCAGAAATTAAAATTTGAATAAGAATTGTTATTTAAAAATGATTTTGCTCCAATCATTGGTTGGTTGTGCAATTATTAATGAAATTTGCTTTACTGGTTTAAAAAATTCGTCAGTAACTTTTGATGTGTGTTCCTTTTTAGAACGAATCAGGCAGGGAAACGAAGACAATAATTCGCCTCCATTCATTCAAAAACGATTCAGGAAGCGGAATCCCGCCAACTTCACCTTCCATTTATCCGTGTCTTAAACTTGTTGAAGATAGTTATCTCTATATCAATATCAAGAATAGTAAGCAATATCAGAATTTGTGATTCTTCCTATATCGAGACTGAAAGTGTCATCACTTATTTTCACCTTGATCATTACTTGTTATTTATGTCTATTGGTCATTCTTTTAAGCGACGCTCAAAGATTTGGAAAGCTTTGGAATTGGAAGAGTTCGAGAAGGTTTACGCGAAGCCGTGGCGCATGTTGCTAATATTTCTGTGCTTCGAATTGCTAATTTCTTTGTTAGCTAAATATTTTTTGGAATTTGTTCTGATCATTTTAATTCTTCATAATTCTTACAGATTTGAACTCTTGATATTTACTTGGAAAAATCTTTGCTGATTTTGGTGATTGCCAGGAATTTTTCGGGAAACTAGTATGGGATGCGATATCATCGTTTTTACTGTTATTTAGAAAATTCCATTTCAGTTTAAGCAAATTCAAGAGAACGTTGTGGCATTTTTCGTTATTGGTGAGGCATCTGGCGTTAAACCTGCAAATACATGGAATAGATCTGTAAATTTTTTAGATTTCTACTTTAAATTGGGCACTCCCCTAGCTCATCCAGTCATCCGAAATATTGAACTGTTCCTTAGCAACACCGTCGTCGTGGGATATTTGGAGCAACTAAAGAATAATTCTCTCTTCATTATTTGTTATTACTGACCCCGTTTTTCCCAAAGTTCCTATGGTGAGTTTTATGTAGGTTGAATTCCATTGATGATTTCTTTGAAAACTCTTGTTATTTCAGAATGAAACAAGTGCTGAATCAGCCGTTAACTTACTGAATGCGACACTGAAGGAAAAGGATATAAAATTCCCTATTTTTATTGGTCATCGTTTGGTGGTAAGAACTTTGTTCCTTTTTTTGTAATCATAGTAATGATTTTCCAAATGCTGAATTTTTTGTAAGTGAGAAGTTGCGTAAAGGTCTAGGAGTTCTATTATCCCACTTTTAGTACAATATTTTTACTATATTAATTTTTACGGCATAACATATCCTACATGACGACATAGAAACTTTCTTCAAGTTGCGTGTTTATTCATCTAGCGATCCTGTCAGATTTAGCATTTAAATTTCATTTCAGAGTAAATTTGACAAGACCCTTAGTTGAATAAACATGCGAATGCTATGGTGCCTACTAAATTTTCGTCCCAATGAATTTATTAATTAGTAACATGTCCCAGTGTACACTTCCAAGCTTTCCCTAACTAAAAAAAGTATTATCTTTTTCAATTTTTTGTTGATATTTTTTTTCCAGATGCTCAGTCTTTCAAAAGCAAGTTTGGGCATCATCCCATCAGTCTGGGCGCCGTTGCCAATGCCCACATTTCGTGGTTATACAGGTGGTTCGATGTTTGTTCTTGGTTTCTTCATGCTTTTGCTTGGTGCAGCACTTGGTGTTGGTATTGTATACTTTATTTGGAAGCGACAACGTTTTAGTGGTCTCGCTTACCAAGTATTTGAGTAAAAAGTCCATTTAGCTGTTCATTGGTGTTTTTCTTCCCTTGCTCAATATTTCTCCTCAAAAGAAATTCGTCAAAGTTTTTACACTCCAAAAATCACTGGCGATCAGTACATTTTTAATTCAAGTCAAAGTATTTAACACTTTTTAAATGTCCTGTTATTTTCGGCCTCTCTTCCGAATTTTTGCTTCCTTTCTTACCTTTTGTCACTGGTGCACTTAATCTGCTGTACTTGTAAAAAGATTAGCATTTTCACGGTTTAGTGATGCCTGGAAGTTTTCTGTTTCTATTTGTACATTTCATACATTCACTTCAATTCGTGCAAGCTTTAAAGGGATCATCCCCACTGCACTCGCTGTAACAGGCATCATATAGATCAAGCTGACATGTCAGAAATATCATTTCCTTATCTTTGTCTTCTCTTTCCGAATTTCAATCTCGGGTGTGATTTTCTGCAGTTTAAAACTTGTTGAACAAAATATTCACAACCACGCTGACTCAACTGTTTTCATTTTTCAGATTTATCAGTATAAAATCTTATCACTTTTCATTCTCAAGCAAACCATCCCAAATCTGTTTATTTTTGTTTGTCACCCATCACTTTTTCATTATAATGAAAAATTCGCTAGTAAAAACAGCTAATTTATTTATTTATTTTTAACAGTATCCAAATCGAAAAAATAAGAACTATGAAAGTATACAAAGGAATCAAAAAACATACAACGTATTTAGCATAAATAGCATTTGTGCTAAGCTGATGTATGACTATGTTTTCGGTACGACATTCGTTCTGTCCATACAATATCCCGTTTAATTTTGTACATGTTAGCATTTGACTTCTTTCTGGCTGCAGTAACTCTTATAAATGTTTATTATTCATTCCTTGCAATGGTACGTAATATTTTATTACTGTTGCAACAAATTATTTCGATATTGATGTACTGGTTAAATATTTATTTCAGTGAAAAATTCGGGAACATTTTTTGTCTTTTTCGAAGTTTTTCATCACTTCTTGGAGTTTGAACGTATTATTATCATTAGGCTGAAGAATTTTTGAAATTCAAATGCTTTTATGAATCAATATTGACCACACTGCTTGGAGTTTGAGGGGACTTGGGAATGAAGGTCACCTTATTTCTATATTCCATCAAGCAGGTCTTAAATTATGTTATGTTCAGATTTCATTTTAATTGGCGGTTTCTTGTGTTAAAGAGAAGAAAACGATCTGGTATTAATTATATATTCTGATTTAGCCCTTATTCAATTTCCAGATTATTTATGGTTCATAACGAAATATTTAGTATTAATAACAGCAGCACTGTTACACTAACAAGGACGTTTTATATCAGTAATTATTAATAAACTTTGTTGTTTGTCTACTTGACCAGTTCAAGGAGTGGTACAAAAACCAATACTGGAGAGTTAAAAAAATATTCATGGGTTAATGGGTTTGTTGTTTGCGATATCTGTGAAATATTTAGATCAGTTTATAAATATGGCTTCAAAGGTGATTAAATCAGCACGTGAGCGTGCATTGCAGTATGTGGAAAATGCAAGCCGTGTGCAGAAACAGGACCTTCGAGATAATCCTGGAGCCAGAACTCAGGTATAAAATTTATTTCGATTTGATGTTAATATCGTTAATATGAATTTGATTGAATTGGCATTGAGTTTTCGTAACATTTCTGCAAAAGAAGATCTTGTTTTATCGAAGTTTTGATTGAGAATTGGTAGTGTTACTTTTGCAGCCAGAGGAAAGCATAGTCTAATTTTTTACGAAACCATGCCCATATCTTTGGCATTTCATTGAATGTTTCGGATATAAGGTATTAATTACATTACTGTAACCTTTTGAAAACTAAGTGAACAGCAACTTTTTTCAGTTCAGGACAAACTTCTTACAATTTGAGTGAACTTGGTTTTTAGTTAATTTTAATTTTTCTTTGAAATGATTAATAAAGTTTACTTAAGGCTCGTCAAATAAGATCTTCCTTGCACAATCAAGCAGGACATACAATCGGTGAGCTTCAGCATGCTGCCAAACCTCCACTTGGTTGGATTTGGGGCAATTTCTACCAACCATGGCAACGTCTTTTTCCAGGAGAAGAACACTTTAACGGTGATATTAAGTGTGTCTTTAATTCTTTAACTCTAACTTTCAACGATTATTTTGTTATTAGCAAAATCATCCAGTGCTCTTATCATTTCAGGGATACACATCGTTCTGAAAGTCTTACAAAACATTTGATTGCAAATGAATAACTGAGTTTTTAGCATATGTTTATCTTTGAGAGATATATGATCTCCAAGATGTAATTCATACTATCTTTTTGAGATACTTTTTTACACTCTTTCTCATAAAAATTCCTTCGTTGCTTATTCTCCCTGTTCCTGTTTTCTTATCCCATTAAAAATTTTTATTATGCAAAAAAATGCAAGTTTATTTGTCTTAAGGGATTTTATTAAGTTTTGGCAGCATTTTAGTTTAAGACGAGAATATCCACCATTATCATTGGTTGAATTGCAACGACTGATTGATTTGGGTTGGTTAGACACTTCATCGTTGATCGATATCACTGCCTTGTGCAATACTCGAAGATACCATTGCAAACCTTCATTAAGACAATTCGGAATACAGCTGACAGATCAGGTAATGATGCACTCGTCTTCATATTCTATGATCGTCTTCATATTAAGTTTTACATTACATTTGAAGTTAAGCCATCAGAAGACGTCTGTTTCCCCTTTTCGAGGATATAGGAATCGTCGCGGTGGGAATTATTGGCGGATATCGTGTATTAAAATTGTTTATTTTAATTGTGATTTGTTAAAACCGACATTCTTGTCTCATATATTCCAGGGTGCTGATTGTTTTGCTTCTGCCGTAAATTTGGAAGTACAGTGGGCGTCGGAAGCTGCAATCGCAGCCGTGGAAAAAGCCGGGGGCAGAATTAGGGTTGCGTATTATGATGCGGCAGCTCTAGAAGCAGCTATCGATCCAGAAAAGTGGTTCTTATTAGGTACAAAAACCCCTCTGACTGCTGTCGAGAGTCTGAATTTTTCCTAACTCTTGACTTTGATTTACCTTGATAAGAGCTAATATTTTCTGTCTATAACTAAGTCTCGAACTTTTGTTTCAAATTCTAATCGCTTCATTCCAACTTTTCACTTTACTGCATCAGAAGGTGACATCTGGTCTTACTGAGATTTTTCTCATTATCAAGTTTTACTTTATTGCATTTATTGCAGGAAGGCCTATTCCACGACGCAAAGCTCCGCCCACAAGCCTTGTTTCACTATATATCGATCCTCGACGTCGCGGATATCTGGCTCGACCGGAAGATCTGATCAAAGCGGAGGAAGATTTAGCTCAAATTATGGGATACGAAAGGAAACCTGCCCGAGAACAATGGGAAGAAAAGAGGCCTGATCAGCTGTTTTTCGGAATTCCGTCTGGTTCAATAGTTAGTCTAAAAGATAAGAAATGTTTTGCGCCAGTACATCCTGTTCTTCAGAAATATTATGGAATTGACGCTAATGCAAGAGGAAGTTTTGTGGCCGATCATTCTTATGCCACCACTTTTTCATCAACATCAATGCGAAAAAATGATTTCATATATTCATAACTTAATATGATTATAAATATGATATTTCTCAAAGTTTCATTCGATTGCAGTAAGATCACAAAGAAATATCACCAGTACATGCAGAAATACTGCATTTTGCACTATTCACCGTTCGGTTTTGGATCGTAATGGAATGTGAAGTTTTTCTCAACAATGTAAAGTTATTATGTTTAAAATAAAGATCTATATGTTTTAAATGTTCACACCGAAGGTTTCAAAACATCACAGTCATCCTTTTCAGAAACTAAAAAAATATTGAGATAATTTCTCCTATTCAGCTTCTGTCAGATTAGTTTAGGATTACCATGAAAATTACACCATCTGAATGGCTTTTATAAATTTCTAAAATTCCAAATTTGTGTAAGCATACAAGATCCAAAAATTTCATATTAACAAAATGTAAAGTTCAGCTGTAAATATTAGAAAAATTGATAACAATAACAGAAAAGCCGTTAACAATGGAAGAATTTTTCTCTCTTTTATTCAGCAGTTATGATTCTTCGTGTTTCAGAGCAGTTCCTTTCTCCTGTAACATTCCAAAGTTATTAAGAAGTAGTAGAAACAGAGAAGCAAATTTTACAGGTAATTCATCATTTATGATGAAGGATTGTTATCGAAGGTACACCATTCTCTAAAAGATATGATTTTACTCACGATGTCTTACTGATATTTTACAACTGAGTCTCTCATTGACAACAGAAATGACAATTTCAACTTCCGAAGTTCTATATCTTTCCTATGTGGGACTGTATATAGGCGGTACATATTTTGTCCTGTTTTCCTTAAACAAAAGATTGCCTCTTTGAAACGTAGCGATAAAATTTTCATGATTTCTGCTGGCTTGATACCAGGTTTTCGTTCTGTTCTATAGTTTTCCTTCACAAACTGTGCAAATGTATTGGCTGGCCTTGTTGAGAATTCTTTCCCATCACGTGATCTTAGGATAAAATGTCCCTGACAAATACCGCAAATTTTACGGTCAGTGTCAAGCGATTTCGAATGTCGTTTAATTCTGCAATTTAATTAAATATATTCAGTATGTAATCGTATATTAATGTAAAAATTATGCCAACCAATCAGATGTTCAAAAGGAAGGATTTATATTTTGAATTCATAAGTCATTCTTTTTACTCATAAATCAGCATTTTTTCCTGAAATTTCAAATCTCTCGCTTTAAAACTTGCAAAACTAATGGAAATTAGACTAACGTTTGTCCACAACGATCACAAATATACAAATATTTGGCATCAATTATGTAATTATGACATCGTTCAACAAGCGGTAAAGACGGGAAGACTTTTTGACATTGATATACCCTAAAAACTGAATAGTAATGATGAAATAAAATTGACATAGAAGTCGCTGGTATGCTTAAACTAGCTAGGGACAGTTTTTTTTAAAAGTTTTACAAACTGCTTCCTCCATTTTAATATCTCCATTACACTTATATAAAGCTGTTTGTCACATCCATCATGTGTGTGCTCTTGTTGAGTCATATCTTTTTTCCAACCCATAATACATAAGTTGTAAACTGCGAATATATGTATGCGCTCAATAGATGATAGCATCTTCTTCGACTTAATTTCAAAATATTGACAAAAACTGGAATTAAAAAATTAGATATCAAGTTAAATCTCCTTTTATGAAATAATCGTAATAGTTAAGATTCAAAGCAATGGGAGCTAATCGTTTTCAGATATTAAATGCGCAAACGATAAAATTAACGGCAATTAAGTTACCAGTATTTCCATGCCGGTCCGTGTCCACCTTTATGGATATGATCGATGACCCAAACCGCAGCATGGCACATTTCATGTAATAATGTATCACGCAGCCGCTCTACAATCAAAATTACTCATTTGTATATCTTTTCTAAAAATAAATTGATAACATAATATCTTTTTCTTGTACTATTTCTTTTTTATTGTTATAACCAATGTTTTACATTCTGTCATTATCCTCTAGTTTTAAATTTGAGAAAATCAGACAGGCTTACATCAATACGAGAAAATAAAGAAGACATCAATTCATATCCTTCGTAATCAATTACTATAAAATCCTAAGATCAAGTGCGATGAAATGGCGTATTACTAAATACATAAAATGAAATTTTTGGTATGCTTTGAACAACAAAGTGATCAGTGATTCACCTGGAGTATCACATACTTTAATGGAAAGCTCTATATCTGCTGTGCCATTTGGTTTGCAACGACAACGACCAGCCGTCAGTCGTAACCGTGCATTCCATTCCAGCACCATATTTGCATCCAACTGAAATTTTGTCTAAATTTAAGAAAGTATAAAAAAAGATTAAATTTAGTTTAAACCGAAAAGAAAATCAGGACTTTTGCCCTCAAAAAATCATACAATGAACATACAGCTTGACCAGTGAAGAAGATCAAAAGTTTATCAAACTATACCTTATTTTCGAAACAACGTCTTCTGTACACATCGAACAACTTCGCCGTTAGTTCTTCTCGAATTCGCGCAAATTTAACTGCGGTATACTTCTGAGCAACTCGGTGTACTGGTCCATTTTGTGAAAGCGCCAAAAGGAAAATTTCGTCATCATCCTTAGGAAGCTGATTTAATTCATAGAACTTTCTACTGTTTCTTTTTTCAAAAATTTTTTCTTTTTTTTCTTTTTTTTTGCAACTTTCTACTGTTTTTTTTTTGCGTTTAGCATATCCTTCATTATATTTTAAATAAATTATGAATGAAAGAAGCAAACATAAATTCACCTTTCCATGGATGTTTGATGCATTTTGTGATTCCAAAAGTAAATTGGCATCTTTCTCCTGCTTTATTTTTCCTGACAAGTATGGAAAATATCATTTTAAAAATTTAGATATATTAAGATGGATCTTTCGGTAACAGTATACTATTTCTTCTCATAAAACTTTGTTGGGAAAAACAAATTTCTAAAATTGTGTTTATAAATATACATACCTAAAACATCGCTTTCCATTGTCGGGTGATGCCAATGCATTGCATGTTCATTGCTAATATTTCTTGAAGTGTTATGATGCCGAATTTTTTCATCCCCAATATGTTTCATTACTTTACCAATCAATTGTACATCATTGGATCTATCGCTTGAATTAGAATCGCATTCTGAGCTACATTCAATAACAGGTTCGTTATCAGTCATGATAAACCTGAAAAATAAATTGTTAAATTCTGGCTGTCTCTATTAAAAAAATTGTGCTAACAACTGTATTGAAAACCGCCATTTCAACCTAATTACAGTGATTATTATCACTGTAGATTAGTATTTAATAAAGAATGATATAATCTGAGATGTCTGTAAAAACTGCGTCACATTTCAATACAATTGTGCTTGTTTCCGAGCATTGAGACGTCTTAAAAAAAAAAAAAAGATTCAAATATTTTTTCTAAAATTAAAATATTCTGGTATACAGAGGATGAAACGACATAATCAAAAAATGACAACTGGTAAAATTAAAAAAGAAAATCATAATTACGATAACTGGAGCTAAAAAACTATAATTACGACAACTAGAGATAAAACAACATATCCCTGTGATCTTGTTCTATACTGGAAAGAATTAGAAGCAAAAATCCGGGAGAAAAAGAATGAACCATGCAATCAAGAAAGAATTACCCATCTAAATCACGTGACTCATGCGTTTTCGTTACAGATGATTGAGTTTTGACTTCGTCCAGGTCTAGAAATTCGAATTTCATAAATTTTCATTTCAAAACACAGAAAAAACGCTCAAATCCTTCGTACTAATAGGTTACAAGCGAGAAGCCTGAATCATTGCGTCAATACAAATGCCACTCGCACACTTAACCATTTACTAATCGATATGCAAATTTTTTGGAAGTTCATGGATTACATAAAATCCTTTACGAGAAAACTTTGTAGAAGTATACTTTGACGTACATTTTTCAAACTTCTCATCACTACTCTCATCGGATTCGACACATTCACTGTGTATTTCGACACGGTCATTGTTTAACGGATTTCTGAAAAGAAAATCCAGGAAATTCATAATAATACCTAGCATTAACTCTTTTAGACCAGATTCCTGACTGTCTAAGTTATTGCCTCGAGTTCCTAGCCCTCAACTTTATCCATAAGCTCTAAGTTACCATCTTCTTGATAAGTAAATTATACTTATTACTATTAAAGCTACCTCTTAAAAGACAGTATGTAGCAATCAGCTCTGCATTGTAATGCTATATATAACTCGATCATTTTATCCATCAGGTTTGTACACTTCAATTTTTCGTGAATTGTTAGACTCTACTTTGCTCTAATTTTAACTTGATTTCCATTATATCATAGGATTTTACTGATTTTTTAAGAAGCTATATGATCAAAAATCACAGCAAAACAAATTACCCCTCAAGATTTACATTCTTCTCTAATTCAGGATATAGCTCAAACAATGTAGACACTTTTTCGTTATTAATGCTTACATCCGAGAGACTGCTTCTAAATAATGACGAAGATTTCGCAATTTCCTGCAAGAAAAAAAAAGAGCATCAATAAAAGATAATAAACCATTTGCATGGCAAAGCTTATTTAAATACTGGAACACTTTCAAGTGTGATACTTAAACCAGTAATAATCATAAATATTTTCTCAAAAAAGTTCAATCATCCCAAGTCCTAAACAACCTTGTCAGCTTCCTTTCGTACAATTTTCCGATTTTGTCGATTGTAGATACTCCTTTTCTTTTTGAAAGATTCCTCATCGCTTGATGTATTTGATAAATACTCTGGAAAAACAAAAAAAAAAGAAAAAATTGCACTTTAAAATTTCAGTATCAACGACCACTATTAAGCTTAATTCAGATATTAGCATGATGAAAATTAAGTGCGAAAATAAAACCTTCAAAAGAAATGTCATCCTTAACAAGGAAACTATCTTCCAGGTAAGTATTCTCACTGATGCTCGTTATTTCATCATCCGTACGATCAATGCGATGTCCATAAGTGTTTCGTTTCGTGAAGCTCAACGTTTCCAACAGACGGCTTACATTTCTAGCAATTTTTTTTTGACAATCGATTAATTATGATGGAAACATGAATTTATTAACAGCAGACAAAATTCAATTGCTAAAGTAAATTGAATTTTATCATTTTATCCACAAAATTCCTCATACTTCTATCCATTGTGTTTAGAAATCGCTGCCACTTTCTTCAAGCAAAATCATAAATTGTTAATAATTTATCTGAATGGATCAAGCTAGAATTATGATCACTGATCTTTTGTTTGCTTCAAACTTAAATTTGGATCAGAAAAATTAAACTCAATCTGAATGGTTTTGAAATATGGAAAACAAGGCTTTCTACAGACACTATCTTATTATTGCAACAAACTTACTGGATATTGGTATCACTACTTTCGTCATCTTCGCTGATATCATCTTGTGTCCTGTCAATATCATTATCAGCATCATCGTCATAATCATCATCAGCATCATCATCATCATCACTTGAAGTATCATCGATGACAACCCGTTGATACTGTGACATATTATGATTATCTGACTGTAATCTCATTTATTATCACAGCGAAATGTTGACATTTTCATATCATTATTATTACTTATCAGCATCTTATCTATATCACACGATATATTATCATCTTGATATCATTATTACCAACGATCGATACTCGCTACGACATATACGTATATATGTTTGATACTCTCACCTATATCACCCACTGTTTAGCCGACAAATTATTAGAAAGCATAAATTCATCCTGCATTCATCCTACTTTCTTGTTTACTTGCCGTTCACCTATTACTTATCATTTATCATTTATCAGTCACCACCTCTAGCAACCCTCAACTCCCTGTTCCTATCCGATTCATTCTTTTTTTTAAATTCAACATTCCCGCCTTGCTTACTACCGTAACCAAAGTGCGCTAACATATTTCTACCATTGTTTATTGTTCTTTATTTTGCCACTACTTTCTTTTGTTTACAAAATACTTGACTATTCAAAGAAAAAACAAATGAAGTTTTTAATACTAATTACTTACTAATTACATAAAGAGTTTTGAACAAAGAGCAACTAATTTTTCGAAGCTTATATGGTAAAACGATACGGTATGAAGAAAACGGTAATCGATATCGAGTAAAACTAATGAGATGTACTTGTTAAAAGAAAAATTATCATTAAAAATAAAAAGTGGGAAAGTTTAGCTGAAACCGTAATTATGATGACTAAATAAAAAACCACTAAATATTGGTCATATTGGGTTATAGATTTTAAATTAAATACTTAAATTAAAGTAATCGTTCTATAGTGATTAAAACATCTTTTCTGCTAAAAAAATTACCTAAAATTTGACTTGACAAATTTCTAATTACCGTATTTTTATTAGAAAGCACAAATTTCATCTTAACCGTTTCACACTATTTCTTATTATTCGAATAAATCCACAAATCTTATTCACCTTAACTTATACGGCTCTTCTTATAAGAGTAAAATTAGAATGAGATTAACTTTTTTTTGAAATCATAAATTTCCATAAAATTATTTAATTTTAGTTTTATTTGTTTCCTTTTTTCTTTCAAAGGTTATAAATGATATACTTCCTTCAAATTATTTAATTATTGTTAATGGTGGAAATGTTCCAAACAGTTGTTGTCTTTCTGATCTTTTTCACATCTGTATATTCTAATCAAATGGATAATAAAAGTTTACGACGACGATGTGACACATTGGGCGGAACAACTTGTACATGTATTGATCCGTTAGGTAAAACCAAAGGGAGTTGATCGAAATGTATTCTACAATTCTGAAAAGATATTGTATTATTTTTTGATGGTTGATTAACCTTTAACTTCAATTTCTCTCAAGAATGCAGTATTTAATTTTAAATTGTTGTCATCTAATTAAATATCTTTTCAAAAGTAAATTCATTATATTCATTTTGTGCATCAAGAAGAAACGCAAAAATTCTTTAATCACATCTCTATTAGATGTTGCATATGGCATTGTCCTTTACGAATCAAATAAATATCATTTTTGTAGCTTATTGGAAGCATGATAAAGGACAAATTTTGGAAATTAATGAAATATATCATGGCAAAGAAAAAATAATGTGTTATATTATTGAATTTATCAACCATACCAATCATTATGTATATATTTTTGAATTTTTAAGTTATAAAAATTAAAATTATTTGCTTATAAAAACGGAAGAAAAATTAAGTTAGAAAATAAGATTTACATTGTTTAAATTACTTTTTATTATTTTTATTGGAAAATTTTCAATAAATATAAATTAATAAATTATTCATTAATTAGTGAAATTGAAATTTACAGGAATTAGTAAGTGATGCACAAGATTGTAAAAATCTGGAAGAATACACTAATGTAAAAATGGAACCAGCATTATTTCCAACATTCCGAAGTATGGAAGTATTAAATTTACACTTACAGCAAGTTTTTGAAATTTATAAATCACAAGAAATACAAGCAACAACAGGATTATCATTTGATATGATTAATGGATTTTTCTGGTTCAATAATACACATGATATAAATGAATCAATATTATCATTGATTAATCAAACCAATACCACGGATTCATGTTTGAAATTTTTTTAAGTTACAATAAAGGTATGTATGTGATCAAAATTTCTCCTCCTTAATCCTATCAGTTGTACCAGTTACCGATATGATAAGACCTTTTTTACAGGCTTTTTTTTCATTCGTAATTATGGATTAATTGGAAGTCAAAAAACAAATTTTAAATTGAAACTAATACAATCATTTTCATTTTAAATCATTGAAATTTTGGACTAACATTACTAAAGTATTTATTTTTTATTTTTGATATTTTTGCTAAAAACATATTGTTTTGATAAAAAATGATTAAAAATTGAGAAAATTCGATGGAAATTGAAGTTCAAAGTATAATCTGAATTCCGGGATCTATTAATTAATTTGACTGTTTGCATTTGTGAAAATATTTTACAGAAAACGGGATATTTTTGAGAGCAATTAATTGTGAAGAAAAGATATCGCAATATATCCGTATTTGCTATTACACTATGGTAAGTTCTTCTTTGAACGTATAATATGATCGTTTTTTCTGGAAGGTGTTAGCTATTTTAGAAAAATCCTAATTAAGTCTATTGGGATTGTCACAATAATCCAGAAGGCGACAAAATCTTGTACTATTTAAGCAGATACTAATTTATTTTTCTTTGCGTTTAAAAATTGATTAATTAATTACTAAAAATCGATTACTCAACATTTGATTACTAAAATTATGCATGAAAATAATATGGATTGAATAAATATTTGTTAAGAAATATATGACAATAGTGTTAACTGTGATTTATAGCTGATAACAAAGATCATCTATTCATTCATTGTAGCATAGTTTCTAACAATGTTAAATTTGATAGAATTTGGCTGAATCTTTTAAGAAAAGTTTGACTTAAACTAAAGTAATTCTACTCGTCACGTTTGCAGTTGCTTCAAATTTTAAACTTAACAATGTGTAGTAATGTCATCTCAGATTACACAAAGTTTCAAATGAAGTGCTTTATCCCTTATCTTGAAATTACAAAGTATGATAAGCAAGTGATATCAGTTATCACTGTAATAATCATTGTACCATTGATGATAACAATGCAACAAATTGCTTTGATAGCAAATATTCGGTGCTATAAGCAATTTTATTTTAAGGATTACATCAAACCAATATCAAAAATGATTGATGAAACAAATCTGGAATTTAAGAAAGGAAATCTATTGAAGGATGTAAATGTAAATAATATTTCAACTGTCTCAAATAAAACATTCACTGATATCACTGCTACTATTGTTGGATCAAATTCAACAGGTATAACGGATAAATGAAATAATTGGCTTATGTAAAAACGACAAAAACAATACCGCTTAAGAAATTACTTTCTGTTTGTGGTGATGATGATGATAACACAAACTGAATTAATGATAATGATAGTACAAGCTAGATTCATGGATAAAAATAAATTCTGTTTGATTAATGTTTGAAAATATATGATACTAAAGAATGAAAAATAAATTTAAGCAGAATTAAAACTTGAAATTAAATAACCGCTTCTTTGATTTTAATGAAAACGAAACTATTCTAGCTATGATAGGACTCTAAATAGAAGTTCTTCATGAAGAAAAGGGATTAATATTGGTTAAATTCCTAATTAAATTATTGATTTTAAAAAGATTCAGGAAGTTGGTCTGATAAATGTTCCTACCTTTTATTGGAATATGATAACAGAAAGATTTGCTATGTACCAATTGTTAAATATTTCAAAAGGACAGTAAGTTATGGTACAAGAAAAGAAAAAAAAAATGATTAATTAAAATTTGCTTTTAATAAAATGATGTGTGAAATAATTTATCTTAATTGTTTTAATTTAAAAAAGAGCAATAATTTCTTATTTTTTATTCTTTTTTCAGAATAGGAAAACTTCAATAAAAAAATTCGAAGTTTGAGTTATTCTTTTACTCTGATCATAAAGATAAAATGACTATTTTTTGTTCTATACGTCCAGCTTTTTTCATATTTTTTACTTCCAAAATATTTTCAATAGCTTTTCCCAATTGCTAATTACCAAATAATTTTGATAAGAAAAGGTCAAATGTAATAACTTAAAATAGGTCAAATGGGAAATAAATTTGTACATAGCATTAAATCATTTGTAGTAAAAATTTTATTAAAATTTAGGAATCAATGCATTATAATTTGGGAAATAAAATGTGTTCTAAAAAATTTCCATGGATAAGCGCTCGTATACGTAATCGCAAACAAATTTCGAGATTAAGAGCATTTACAGAATGTTATGGTTTCATTTTTCCATTAATTGTCTAATTATTAGTCCATTCATTAATGCGGAATAAGTTAGAAGTTAATATGGCCGAAAATCACTACAGAATTAAATTTGGATTTATTCTTTGTCAACAAATAATCCATTAATTACTTAATTATCGTCAATTTTTAGCATTTTTAGAAAGAAATGAAATTCATCTGAAACATGTGCCAATATTAATCGGTTTAATCCATATGAGAGGAATGGGTTTCATTTGGACGTCCGGTAATAATGGATCATATTTGAATTCATGGAATTCAGATTATGATAAGTTATACAATGAAATGCCATTTTGGATTGATCCAACATTTCATCCTTATTTGAATACAACCGAAATACATTGTCATCGGTTTGTCATCTGGACACGTTAGTTTTTTGATTTATTTAACAATTTTAGTAAAAAACAAACAACAAAATTTCAGAAATTAATAAATAAGAAAAACTTTGAAATTAATCTGATAAATTTTGAGATACCTAGAATTCAATGATGAAACCTGGAAAAAATGGATTGGTAAATTTGACTGTGATATATTGTAGAGACCCTATATTACTAACTGGTTTGTATAATACATTATTAACTGATTACTAACTGGTTCATACAAATGATATGAAGTTTTACTACCACAAAAATTTGATCATTAAAATGATAAGCCTTAAGCATTTACAACTACCTTAACAATAAAAATATTTAGCCAAAAATAATGCGACCATTTTTGTCCATTTGATTATAAAAGTATTAAACTTCTTTGAATAAAATAAAAGCAAATTATTGACACAATTTTCAAATAATTTGAAAAAAAAGAAACTTAATTAACTTTAAGAGTATTCTTATCTTTTCTCTTAGATACCAATGATAATTATGCGCGCGCCATACCTTGCGAATATCCAACAAATATTAATTTGGTGTTATGCGAATATGATGTGATAATTTATTGATAGAATTTAGTTATTGTGAAACAAAACGAAATATATTTTTTTTACTAGCATACACGAATTTGATGATAAACTTTGAAAAAAGGGATTAATAGGTTTAACTATGATATATTATAAAGGACAGTACCATTTGGTAAATATATATATATATATGATATAGGTTATTATTACCAAATAAATTTGATCAGTAAAATGATAACTTTAAACTGCTAAAGAGTTATAAACCAAATCTTAATCAATCTAAATATTGAAATGAGTGATTGAAATTATTCTGGCAATTGATTATTCATTAATTATTTCTCTAATCAATAAAAGGAAAAAAAAGTTGAACATCTATGATAGTTGTTTAGTTTAAGTATTTGTGATCAGTAAGGATGATTGTTTTGGAAAATTGGCAAGTTAATAAATACAAAAAAAAGATTAAACGGATGAAATGTAATTTAATAATTATCCAATTTAATCAAAGATTTTGTTAAATCTCTATAAGTGTATTTGATACATGTTTTGTATTTTGTAAAATTATCGCTTTTCTGCAGGAGGAATTGCTCTTCCTTAACAGTCATCAAGTAATAGCCTTCCATTTTACTGTCGTCAATGGCACTGAGCCGGAGGATAGCGAAGAGATATTCAGGTAATAATCAGGTAGGATATTTAGGATGTTCAACGAATCCAGAATGACACATTAGCATATTGCGGAATTGTCACCATATCCTACTTAAGGGCAGAGCAAACGATTAGGCTAGTTTCGCCCTTCCTCTGATCCGATAAGACTGTGGGTTGATCAGTGATAAATATTACAGTATTATAAGAAACGATGAGAGTTAGCTACTATTAATAGTGATAGCATTACATACGTCACTACGCCAAATGAATTCGAATTTCTGACGCACTCCGAAGGCTTACGTCACAGCCGTCCAAAAGAAAGGGTAACGTAAGACGCGAATTCATGAAATGGCTAACGTAGTATTCGCGTTATTATTTGTCGTATTTAAATATGTCTTCTCAATTTTTGACATTTTGCAACCAATATCATTTTTTCTTTGCGTAATACATTCTTAGACATTCCGCTGAGTACGTTACGTTTACTTAATGAATCATTGATGGTTGGAGTAACTTATAAAGTTGAAACGAAATCTCGTTCCCATGCCAGTTTTTCAATTTTTGTTATTCGAAAATTCGGGAAGAAAATCTAGTTATGGAAGATCTTTTCGAGGAAAATGGTCGACATAGACACAGTTCAGATGAATAAGTGTGTACGTATCGACAAATAATTTTTACTTTTTGTCAACATTTAGAATCATAAAGATATTGTTATCACAAAGACAAATATGATAAACACTTGTTAAAATGTAAAAGACGATTCATTTCACGTTTCATGTGTCAATATCATGCATAATATGCGAACTGAACAACCAATTTTTGGGCTTTGAAAACACAGCCTTGTTAGGCCTTTGATTAATGCCGAAGTTGTGGATTCGAAATGTAGAATTAAGGAAGAATATTTTTACGAACGTAGAATGTTGCAGAATGTTGATCGGTAATCAGTGAATGAAACCATAAAGGCAAATTTTACTTTCAAAAATGACTTACTGAAAAAAAAAAGAAAAGAAAAACGACAGATAAGATATTGCAAGATAGCTTGATCGATGCTACTTTTGGTACTTGTTACGCATAGAAATTAATGAATAGTGTCAATATATTTTACCACATACGACATAAATTAGATTACTCTTGTGTCTAAACGGATTTCCATTAACAATTTCTGCTGGACCAGAAAACTTCAATGTCTTTAGCATATAAAATAAGTTACTACTCGGAAAAATTTGAAAGCAATTGGACATTGCAGTTGTCGTAAAGTAGAAATAACCAATAAATCATTGATATAATTTAGTGATAAATTTTGTGCTCAGAGTTCATGTAGTCTATATACACACAGTTTGTGACTTAGTTTTATCCTACCATACGTATTACCATACGACATAACATTATTTGAATATGTGCAGCACGTCACAACTACAAACAAGGACCAGTGGAAATTCCCGACTTTTCAATGGAATTTTATTCCTAATTCAGCTAGACTGCTTGTTAATCCTTCTACGATAATCCTTGAAATTCACCTCAATATCTGCCGTTCAGATCGAATCGTAATGTTTTTTGGTAACGTACGATATATATATAAGGGAAACTTTTACTTCTGATGGCATTCCAATTTATGCAATCAGTAATAATCTAAAACAACTTTGAAATAACAAGGAATAACCGGTAAGCACTGCATCTATAACTATTGCGTGATACCATGATCAAAGAGAGCACCGGTATTTGCTAGAAATGAAAAAAACGATTATCCGAAAATTCCAAAATCAACAGACATGATTATCTGAAGATTCCAAAATTAACAACAAGAAATGATTGTCTGAAGACCAAAAAAAAAGAAAAAAAAATTCGAGAAGTACATAATGATCAAATATGGCTATAATATAGCCATGTTTGATCATTAAGTACTTCTCGAAGAGTAAACTTGTACTCCAGTGCTGTGCAGAAAATCGGTATGTCAAAATGAGATCAACAAATCATAATTTTTTAAACTTAACAAGCACTACTTCAACGGATGTCTGCAACACCGGCGCAACAAAGTATAACGTTGATAAATAAAGCGTTATAACAGCTGCTAACAAAAGTTCAAAGACAGCTGGTTTTGCTCGGTGTGCCATTAAGCGGTCTTCGAGTACACCATAAAGTGACACTTCTGCTACCGAAACTGGCTCCACTACAGTTTGTCCGGAAGTATACCTGGAATCAGTGTAAACTGCCGAAGTTAAAGCCACCAGTAACATATAATTGAAACCGTTATATTTCGTAATATAAAGCCCGATGATTCCAATCAAATTCAGGCGATTTAATTTTAATTTCAAGACGAAATGATGCAGGGAAAATAATATATCTTTGATAGAAATATTGAACACAGGAACCAACTCAAGCACTGTCAATTTCGTTGTACTTTCTATATTTAATTAAATAGGGAATCACTTTTCCTCAAATAAATCCTTTGATTGTGACAACATACCTGATTACGGTATCCATAAGATTAGCTACAAGCCAATCACTGCCAGCAGCCATAGGACGAGATTTGCTTCCAAACTGCTGCAGCCAGTTTGATAATCGCTTTTTATTAACATCTCCCGGCGCCAGAATTGAACAAGTTGAGAAATTCTCTTCATGCGCACATTTTGTATTTGGCAAATTTAACACATAAACCAAAAGAGCTTCACCGATAGTTCGTACATTTGCCTGAAAATCACGAACATTCACTATACAAAAACAAAATAAATAGAAAAATATTATCACATTCGAAGAGATAAAAACATTGATTCGAACCACCGCCGACAGAAGCTGAACGAAACATCCTCGTCGATCTGTTCAACCACACTATATGTGTATTTCCAGCGTAAACCAGCATTACTACAAACATACGCATAGTAATGGAGGTATTTCATTCCCAAAGGACTATTGTGAATCTATTATTCCTAGGGAAATAGTTTAATAAACAAATTGAACAAATCGGCGAAATAGTGAATCTGGAAACAATCATACTTCCAAAACTTCCATCTCGATCTGTGATAGTATATCCAGGAATGAATTTCTACCAGAATCAGTATGTGATTTGAAATGTGAAAGTGTGAGAGCGGGTAAACGTTGAATTGAAAATCTGAAAATTACTGTAGATAAATCGAATTAATCCGAAATAGAAGTCCCGACTAATCTTTAGTAAAATAAAGGAAATTTAGAAAGACTATGTATGTTGCAAGTTTCACTTTAAGTCTAACATATATATATATATATATATATATATATATATATATATATATATATATATATATATATA